GTGTTCTGCAAATGAAACAAAGTCATACAGGTTTGAAACAAATTAAGAGAGAATAAATGATGACAAAATGTTCTTTTTGGGGGGGACAAAACTATCCTTTTAGGTTACATTAAGAATAATCCTTCTTGGATAGTTTTCTAGTGTCTAAAATTAAAACATGAAAAGGTCAAATGAAAAGTCATAGAATATTTAAGTAACATATCTATCATAACATTCCATTATGATAGTGTAGATTTGGGACTATAAATAATGGACTTTTCCCCTGTCTGCTGTCTTTATTGTCACACTTAAGTAAAGTCGATAGTGTTCTGTGTGCAAAACTGAAATTTAAAATCATGTATTTCCAGAACATCATGGCATTGAGATGAATGGGAATGCTAATGGATAGCTCTCTCCAGGTATTGTAGAGCTCCCTGAATGCTTCTCGTCCCCCGTCATCACTGCCCATAAATCCAGCATCCCGTCTCTCCTTGAGGAAGATTGAGCTTCCCTGTGTTTAACCTCTAGGTGAACAGCCTGTCCTTCACGTCCCCTGCAGTGTCAGGGACTCTGTTTAGATTCATGCCAAGAGACTTTTTCCATTCTTTGTGTTTTATTTTAAATAAGGCCTCTCTAAAGGCACACACACACCCTCTCACATGGTGTTATAGTAGCAGCCAGTGCTGACGAGAGCGCTCATGTTGAAGTAATATGTTAGTATGAGACACCTGGTACCCACAAAGATAGGTCAGTTACAGTCTCAAGTTCAAATGCAGTGAAAATGTGTGTGTGGTCAATTAAAGAGAAGTGGGGGGATGGATGCCATTAAAGGGCTATCATTTTTCAACGGGAGCTAACTGCTGCATATGTGTATGTGTGTTCATGATGTGTGCTCATGTACACACTCTTGAAACATGATTCAAAGATAAAACCATGCTACAGCTATCAAGTTTTTAAGCCCTGTATATTCTATGCCACATAATATAGCCATGAAGAGACTATTATATGAAGCCCTAACTGAATGTGTATATATATATATATGAAGAAAATGTGAGTGGTGCTAAGGTGTTTAATGTGAGTTACGTAATCAGACTACTTTTTAAGTAACTACTAAAGTAACTTTTTTAATTTACAAGAAAACATCTGAGCTACTTTTTCAAATAAATAATGGCAGTTACATTGTGTTGAGAGAAATCAAGAGTAAGTGCAGAGATATTGTGCGCGCTGTGTAAACATGATGCTAACTGTAGTTCTAGACTAAATGTGAACATGCATTCAGTATTTCTCAAAATGAATAAAAACAAGGAAATGCAAACTCAATGTTAAATAACACAAATATCCTGTATTTAATCCCATTTTATTAACCAATGTCTTTGCTGCTGACCTTCGATGATCCGATTCAACCGCTCTAATAAGCAAAAATTATTTTAGATAAACATAACGTTTCTTTTTTTCTTGCTGAAGAGTGATGAACTTTCCTCTCCTGCATCCTATTCTTCATGCAATCCAGAATGGCAGTGCAGCTGAAAGGTTTGTTTGAGCATGAATTTGCATTTCCTTCAGTCTGAAGGAATGAAAGAGCTTTTACATTTGCCAAAAATGTAACTTTTTTTAAATTAAAAACAAACAAGCGAGCTCAGGCCAGATGAGAAAAAGTAACGCAAAAGTAACGTAACATTACTTTTCATAAGAAGTTACTAAATGATGCAATTAGTTACTTTTTTAGAGAGTAATGCAATATTGTAATGCATTACTTTTAAAGGTAACTTTCCCCAACACTGGTGGATGCAAATGATTTGGTCACTAAATATGGCTCATGTCACTCTTTAATGCTGATTAATGGGGTTTTCTAACCTGTTTTATATAGTTTTTTTTATTCTATCACTATGTCCTAAAGTTTAACACTTTCAGTTAGAGGTCTATTCAAATCATTAACCACTAAATATGATGAGCAATAGTAATATGATGTTTAACTTGCAAACACTTCTGGAAACATGAACCACGGCAAGGTTATCATAAACTTTAGTTTGACCCCATGTATTTGAAAAGAAATCGGAGTGTGAAGATGTTTTGTGATGTTCAGCGGAAAATCCAGATGAATCCAACCACACCTCCATTATCTAAAAATGCTCTGCAAATATTAAAGTAAGACAAAATATGTTGTTGCAAAGGAAGAGTAGGAAGAGAAGGAATAGTTCCAAAATGGTTCTTCTATGGCATCGCTGAGAAACACCCTTTATTTTTACATGTAATCAAAACATAGACTCCATCAGCTCATGCATTCAGTGGGAATCGAACCCATGACCTTGGCATTTCTAGCACCATGTTCTACTGTTTGAGCTACATGAAATGATGAACTTGTAGAAACTTGCATTTAGATACATATTGATTTCAATTTTACCCACATGTTTTCTATTATATTTATGTAAAATTATTCAGCAAGTCCCTTTGGAATCCAAGTTTCCTTCCTAATTCTGGAAGTTATAGTGCTATTTTTTCATGCAAGTCATAAGTCTGGAAAAAGAGTCATGTTGACTTATTGTAGCAGGAATGTAGGATTTTTCAGTCTGTCTTCAGGTGACTGTTTATCTAGTCCTGTGATTTTTATGTCACTCAGGGTCACAACATTAAAATGTGTTTAAAACAGATTGACTGACGGTGTTCTTGTTTCTCTGTGTGTCTGGAAATAGGAACACCCAATCCAGGACAGCCTGCCAGTCAGAACAGATTATATTGAGCCAGAGGATGGACCGTTATCAGGTACAGAAAACACACATACACACACTCCAAGGACAGATCATTACAAAGAGGCAAAGGATAGACAGCTATCAAAAACAACACAGGCTTCCTCTCCTCCTTTTCCTCTCAGAGTTGGAGATTTGGAGAGGAACTCTATTCAAGCACACAGTGGGAAAAGGCAGCAGTTCTGCAGCCTTTGTGGAAAATATAATCACATTGAATCATGGCCTTGAATTTTGGGCTATCTGCAGCATGATGCTTTGAGTACTGACCTAGTCTGCCGCTCGGTCAGGGACCTTTAATAAACAAGAGGAAACTCATTTTTATTTCTTCTTCCATGTCTCATTATATGGCTGGCCTGTGAGAGGATGTTTTAAGGACATATGGCAGCGCAACAAGACATTTAGTCTGTCTGAGTGCCGTCTGTAACTCAAACATTGGTTAAAAGAAAGAACACAACCCTGCAAAAGCATACTAACATATTGTCATTGCAGTTTCAGTATTTTCAAACAATATAGATGTCGAAAATAAACTTTTGTTTGCAAGAGACAAAATCAATAAATTGCGCTGCACATCACACACGTTGAAAACTAATGTAGCAATAAAAATCCCCTGAAATTAAAATTTTGATTAGTTTGCTCAAGCATGTTGCCGAGTAACAAATAATTGCAACATACTTTGTCTACACCAACAACAAAAAAAATGTAGGAAGATTATGTTTTCAGGGTACTTTCAAAATTTGCTTTGCTTGAGAAAACTTTTTGTCGTTTGATTTAGTCGAGTTCGATTTGCATCAAATACAATGTGATTTTTGGTCTTCGAGATCTGCCAGCAAAACCACATTTTTCCACTTGGGCAAGCAATTCATAGACAGCCTTTTTTTGTGGCAACAACATGGCACATGGCAACAAACCAATGAGAACATAGAACCATAATGACGATTCACAGAAATAGAGCACCAAAGCTGTTGCGGATCCCTTCATAACTGGCACAGATTTGCAGAAAATTAAGTTTGGCAAATAAATAATTTATAGACGGTTACGTATGTATTCCCAACATTTTATTGTGTAAGCTTTATGTTACACTTCAAATGACAAGCAAAATCGTAGTAATTCCAATTAGCCAGTTCCTGATCTCAAATGGCTTGAATATGCAGAGCATTTGCAGTTTATATGGACTGAATGGCCCTGAAATTAGCTATAGAAAGTCCTTTACGAAAGTATTTTTATAATTTGCCCACTGCTGACCAATGGTGATTTGGGTTTGTACAGTAATTGCTGGCTGGAGGGAGCTGGTGTTTAAATTTAGGGGCAGATTTATTGTACAAAGTTTTGTATACACCCTTGTCTGTATGATCATTGATATTTTTTAACCATTTTGCCAAAAGCTAAAGACTGAACATTAAATGTGTATATCTACCAAATATTTTTTGCATATTATAGAACCTTAAAGCTAACACTCAAGCATTATAAACCACAAAACTCCACTTTTGATTTCATGGGGTTTTCCACAGAAATGTTTGTTGCGTTTACAGTAGATCAGTTCTGAGGATTCTTTTAGCTCAGTTCTCATATGCTGCATTCTTATTGTGTGTGTGTTCATTTCAATTCATGCAATGTAGACAATTGTGACCTTACAAAGACCTGATTAACACTCATCAGTGATTGATAGAAAACAAGCAAATTACATTATATACTCCTTCTATGCATGTTTTTTTTTCTCAGAATAGTGTCTCTCTGTGTGTGTGTGTGTGTGTGTGTGTACCTACTTAACCATATTTTGGGGACAAATTTGTACCCAAAAGTGAGCTAAACCTGACAAAATCTCCAAAAACCTCCCTTTGGGGACGTCCTCATTTGTGAAACTGGTATAAAAATAAAGTAAACAAAGTTTTTTTTTAAATTGTAAAAATGCAGAAAGTTTCCTGTAAGGGGTAGGTTTAGGTGTAGGGTGATAGAATATACAGTTTGTACAGTATAAACCATTATGCCTATGGAATGTCCCCATTTAGATAGCGCTAGATTTAGATAGATAGTAAACGTGTGTGTGTGTGTGTGTGTGTGTGTGTGTGTGTGCGTGCGTGCATGCATGCGTGTGTGTGTGAGCATGTATGTTTTGGAAAACATGCTGAAAAATCATTAGTGGCTTCAGCACTGTTAATTCAGCAGAACAATAAACCACAAGGGAAACCAAATAAGTGAAAAATGGAACAGTTTAAGCAAAGATATGACCTTGTATGAACATATTTGATACAGTTATCACTACTTTTATGTTTATTTTTATTTATAGATACATTAGATGTCAAAATAATTACTAGATTTTTACATTTGAAGATGAAAATATGTAATACTTGCCTATGCATCATTGACTGTCGCTTGGTGTTGCTATGCAGTTGCTAAGGTTGTCTGGGCTGTTATTTTCAATGATATTCTCATTTCTAAAACATAAAACAAAAAAGGTATGTGACATTGCTGAATATTACAAAAAGTTGTGGCGATCCAATGAGATAATACTTTACTATGTTCTTTGTACTTAAAGGAACAGTTCACCCAAAAATGAAAAAATTGCAGTGAATGGGTGCTGTCAGAATGAGAGTCCAAACAGCTGAAAAATAAATCACAATAATCCACAAGTAATCCACACAACTCCTGTCCATCAATTAACATCTTGTGAAGTGAAAAGCTGCGTGTTTGTAAAAAACAAATGCATCATTAAAGCGATTCAACTTTAAACCATCGCTTCTGGCTAAAATATGAGTTCATAATATATAATAATGCTTCCTTCCTACAGTAAAAAAAAGTCCATCGCATGTTGTCCTCTCACATCAAAATCTAGCAACATATTTTTGTAGAGCTGTTTTGGACTGTTGTCACTTGTGAACGGTGCTTAATTTGTGCATATTTCTCTCCTGATTTAGACGTGACGACTTGTTTTTGTTTTTTTACTGGCGAAAACAATATTATGTATACAGGACTAATATTTTAGTCGAAAGCCACAGTTTAAAGTTGAAAACATCTTGATGGATTTGTTTATTACAAACGCACAGATTTTTGCTTCACACGTCGTTAATTGATGGACTGGAGTCATGTGGGATTACTTGTGGATTATTGTGATGTTTTTATCAGTTGTTTGGTCTCTCATTCTGACGGCACCCATTCACTGCAGAGGATCCATTGGCGAGCAAGTTATGTAATGCAAAATTTCTCCAAATCTCTTCCGATTAAGAAACAAATTAATTTACATTTTGGATGGCCTGTGTCAGTAAATTTTCATTTTGAGGTAATCATTTCTTTTAAAGGGGTCATATGATGTTGCTAAAAAGAACATTATTTTGTGTATTTGGTGTAATGAAATGGGTTTATGCAGTTTAAGGTTAAAAAAACACATTATTTTCCACAAACTGTACATTATTGTTTCTCCTCTATGCCCCGCCTTTCTGAAACGCGTAGATTTTTACAAAGCTCATCGGTCTGAAAAGCAAGGTGATGACTTATACAGTCTTTTTACGCGTTGCGTTGCATCGCGCCGCGTAAACATAAAACCATGTCTGCATTTGTGATCGGAGAAATGACAAACAACAAGCCCTACTCTACACTGCCCAAAAAACTTGCTTTACATATAAAAAATATAAAATATAAAAACTCTTTAAATATAAAAAACTTACTTACAATCTGTGAGTCAGAACAGCCGGAATTGTAGTCTACTCTACCAGGATCAAGAAACAGTCCTCCATAAAATGTGCTGCACACAGCTGAATATTTGGGTTAAACTGTTCTGGAACAGTGTTGTAAATACAACTTAACCACTGATTTCTAGTCGTGTCCATTTTTGGAAGGCCAAACAAAGTAATTTCGCTTTCACAACGAAA